GTTATTGTCATTCAAGATGAAAATACGCTGACGCAGAAGGGAAGCGTATACTACTTTGAAAACGTTAGATTTGCTGAAAGCTAAGAAAACTTGCTCTAAATAGCAGAACCAACAGGATAGCTGGCATGAACTGCATAGTAATATGAACTGCATGAACTACATAGTAATATGAACTGCATGAACTGCATAGTAATATGAATATGGGAAATTGATTAAAAACGAAATAGAAATGTTGCCAAGGCGGACAGTTTTTTTTGTAATGATAAACCAGTGGAGGAGTAATGCTTAACCTGCATCCCGCGTTTCAATATTTATACAGAACTCTAAAACTGTCATTGTGGACAATTACGACAGTACCGGAGCATCTCTTGAAAGAGTAGCTTTTGATGTTTTATGGGCCTTATAACAATAAAATGATACTAATCAACACATCTTGAAAAGTAACCGGAAAGATACGCTGTAGAAATTCAATAAAGTAGGACACTGTAATGGGAGCTAATCAGTGAGTTTGTATCAAAATATTCAATATCCATAAAACTTCAGTCTGATGGATATTGTATTTAACGACGTGTGTCAGATTTTCAGATTAGAAACCAAATGATCTCACAAGAACAATTAATGCTTGTTCGGGCAGAATAATACAATGGTAAACTGCACAGAGTTAAACCAATCAATCGAAACATATGGACGCAATTAAGACAGATAACATAGACAATAGATCTGTAATTGCTGATAATTACATACAAACTGGATAAGTATGAGATAGTGAGTTAGCTAAGTGTGCCTTTAAACTTCTTCTGTGGATATCTTGAGGATAAAGACGAGTCTAAGTAAACTCTTAATAACCACACATTGTTAATGTCCATGTGAGAACCTGAAGTCAACCAGTGACATGATGAAGAGATTGCATGATGTCAAGTGTACTAGTTTTGACTTTTAGGGTGTTTTTATCGAAAGGAAAGAAACTTATGTCTCTAAAGATAAGTTAGTACTTGAAAGCTCTATGTCTTTTGATACAAAGGAACAATGATGTTCATAAATGTAGCAGTAACAAATAGCTTACTGATTATCGAAAACAATTGGCCAAGCCACATACGTATATTTCGATCAAGAAAACATCACAATACCATACTTAGAGCCTTTGAGTCATCCGCTAAGAAGAGGAAATAAAGCTGGCATGGTAAGCAGAGGTTGGTGCTGTCTGCTGAAGATCTATTCGGCTCAGATGAAAAAACAGATGAAACAATGGGTGCAGAAGAAGAAGGGCTCACGTAGCGGACTTTTATTTCAGGAGATATAATTGGAATTGTATACGATTTGTTTATAAGTAACAATCTATTATTCCTGTAAGAAGCAAATTATCTGTTCATTTCCAAGACTTAAAAGAAGCTTTTTCTCACAGCTTAATTGTTTATACAGCTTCAATAAATCTATGCTTTCATTTCCTTGAAATGACCCACATTGTTTATTGAAATATCTGATTTTAAAACAACATGGCTAACGCAAATTTGTTCACATTTTCTAACTTAACATGTTCATTATTCCCACAATGATAAGCTTGTTCATTTGTTTGAAGATAAGCACAAAGCTACACAATGAGCTATCTTTGTTCTGCCCACCACTCGGTTTCTAGCGTTGTAAGTCCACAGACATACCGCTGTGCCACTGGGGGCCCCACGGTGATAAAGAGACAGTTCTGTTTATTTATTTAAGAATTTTCGTGCATAGCTAAACAAGGGCTGTTTGGGTCTAGCTGTCGCTAATTTTGAAATGATAGACTAGAAGGAGAAAGCATTTAATTAACAGCACTCGCCCGACACCGGTAATCCTTGGGCTACTCTTATCTGACACAATTGTGGGATTCGATCACCATTTCTAGAGCACACACAAGGTGTCAAAGTTTGTAGCACGTTTTCACGGCATCCGGTCTCGAACTATTAGCTCTTGGATTCACCTTCTGGACAGTCCGTGAAAGGGAATTAAGCCATTGGTCGGTGTTATGCTGAAATGTTAATAAGTAATTAATTTAATTAATTTAGTAACAGCTGCTTTCCTTATATTACAATCTTTTTTATACGATTTAGCAATTTAAGCGTACAGGGTTCATGTTTTGCTCTTTCAGACTCTGTGGATGGATTTTTTATAACATTGTAGATGTATCTTTTGCCTTTCTTGTTCTTTCTTCGACAATACATTTATGTTTAAATAGTTTGTTTATAAATATTATCTACTTATGTTAATTATAGTTATTAAATTTATTGTAAATAATCTACTTGCTTACTTGAAGCTAAAGAGTTATTTTCCAAACACGCAATAAATATCCCCCGGTGGATTAGTGGTAAATTTACACACTTATAACCTTAAAATATGAGATTTGAATTGTCACAATGGACAGAGTGCAGAAAGCCCATGATGTAGCTTTACATTATGATGGTCTCCCTATTGGTCAGCGCTAATTTTACGAGTTTAAGAACTTGCAACTCTAAAGTTCAGGGCTCGATACCCTGCGGTGGAAAGCGTGCAAATAGCCCAATATAATTTTGTGCTAAAACTGACAAATTAAACAAACAAGCAAGCGTTGAAAAAGTAACAATAAATTTATCAATTATTAATATTTATACATTCTGTCCAGAGATGGCAGCAGCTTATCTTTTAAAATACATGCTGATAAATTACCCAAAATGCAAGGGATATATTTTTCTTTCATCTTCCTTTATCACACATAATAACAGAATGCATTAGCACCTGTGGCTTGAAAACGCAAATCTAAAATGGGGAATAATTTTAAAGAGTAATAGAACTGTTTTTCTGAGTCTAATCTAATTTTTAACACCTAAATGTATATTACGAAAGAGTAAGAATCTTGAGTTTTAAGTTTTACTTCTCTAATATAAAGTAATACTGAAGGATGAAAAAAAAAATTCAGTTCTATTGGAAACTTAAGGAAGTGGATGAGTTTATGATGTGTCTTGTACGAGCTGTAACAATGTAAGGTTTGAAAACTTAGCATTGTCTTCACAAGCTTCAGCTCGTTTTCTCTTCAGTTCCAAACTCCTAACAATCATATCCGATGTAAAACAACTACACGAAAGTGATATTCCTAGCTCTTTAAGGCTAAAAAACTTTAAAAAACGATGATACTCGTAGTAATAAAAAAAGATGCACAACGAATATTGAGATTTACTGCTAATAAATGACTTTGCCATCTATATTCACGCATTACCTATGATAAACTTGATATCTCTTTATTTTATGTTTTATAGTGGGTTAGTGGTTAGTGGTTTTTGTTCTCTTCTTCACGTGTTCAAGCTAGTAAAGCACTGATATTTTGAACTTTAATGGCTGTTGGTTTTGTTTTAATGCAAAACTACACTACGGGCTATCTGCGCTCTATCCACCGCGCGGAGTCGAACCACGGATTTTAGAATTGTAAGTCCATAAACTTACCGCTGAACCACTGGTGGATGGAATAAATGCCTAGGCCAAAGGCTCCTAAGCCATCCTAATTTTCACTTACTTACCAGAGGGAAGGCTGCCAGACAGCGGCCACAAGGGCTTTGTCTGGCTTTGAGCCGAATAACGAGGTTGACTGTCACTTTTATAACGCAGCCATAGCTGAATACATAATTCGAGCCCGCAATGCATTGCAAAAACGTGCTATACTTTCAGCTAGGCATGCTAGTCGCTTAAGAGAAAGAGCCAGGGGGGGGAAGGTACTTTATTTGGTCCAGGAAATAAAAACGAGTAGCGGGAGCTATTTACGATTATTTTAATTTTGTTTGTATTAACTTGTACAGTTACTTAAACACGCTCAGCTACCATGAAACACAGTTTGACAAAGTTTATGGAGGAGTGTTGCCCTCTGGTAGAGCTCTGGATTTTGTGGATGTCTAGCCGGGTTCGAATCCATGTGATACCACAAAAATATTATCCGCACTTTAAGCAGTGGGCGCATTAAAAGAGTGACAGTCAATCCCTTAGCGTGGGTGACGGGTGACAGGTTATGCTGCTTGGCTGCCTTTCCTCTGGTCAGTAGTTCACAATTGATGACAGCGACAGATAACCTCAGTAGCCTTGCCATAAAATCAGATATGACAAAGTTTGCTTTTAACCACCTTGGTCAAAGTAAACAGAAATTAATTTTAGGCTTTTTTCGGTAACTTTAAATAACGTTGGATTACATTTATTAAAAATTGTTTTCTTGCGTAATTGATTAATTCCGTTATAAAACTATTCATTTACCGTTCATTGTCAGTCAGGTTGAATGGAATATTAATACAGGCAGACAGCGAGCGCGTTGTCTGGTAATACAGAACTGTGTATAGTTAAGGTGTATTTTGTATTTTTATCATTTCTTGCTGAGTGAACACATTCAGTAACTCGATAAAACCACGTATATTAATCATAAACACGCAATTATTGTACAGTAATACAGAAACATTTTGTATGAATTAATATATTACTTTATTATCACATTATTAAAAGCAAACATTTTTTAAGATTGATTAGAAGAGATACTGTTTTTATTGGTATAGTTTGTTAAGAATCAGTACGCTTGGGTTTGGTAGAGGAAAGACTGCATTATGCATAATATAACGAACTGCTTTTCGTAATTTGATCGTCTTCACAAATGTTATTAAATGATGTTCCTTTTCATACAGAAGAAGAAGAAAATCGTATCAAAATTTCTTCTATACAAATGACCAATTAATCATCATTTCTTGAGTTGGTTATAAAGTTCTTCCTTTTTATGATAACTCCCGTTAGATGTTAGCAGTTCAGTAAAGAGAAACTTTCAATTTTTTGTTTCATTTTGTCATTACAATCCAGCTTTTACTTATAATTTATGAGACAATGCCATTATGAAGTCACCTTTACAAAGTTGTGTGAAAAGTTACCGTTATTTACAGCCAACTCCTACAAGAGTGGGGAAAAAGAGTCACCATTAATTACAACCATCTTCTCCACGAGACTGACGAGAAAGTCATTATTAATTACAACCATATCCTATAATGGTTTAATGAGAAGTCTAAGCGGCTATTCTTCTGTCTTCTCACATCGAACAGTCCCTAAGTTACTGTCATGCTACCTGGACCATGTTAACACGCAGTGAAGACCTAGAGCACAAACAGTACATCATCCCACATCCAGGACACACAGCAGCCGACGACACAGTGGGTAATATTGTTGCTGGAAAAACGTAAATATCAAAGAGTTATTTAGACAAAACGTTTTGTAAAATATAACACATTCGTGTATTCATATTGGTGTTGTAAGATATAAAAAAGTATGTTTTTACGACAAAATTATGACGAATATTGTTATATTTTTTTTAGAAATGATAGATCAACAGATTTTCTTTTTTATTAGATACAAATATACATAATATATCTTAATGAAAATGCATTTATTGATCCAAATCAATTTAAAAGACACTCAGAAAGACTGTTACTAAACTTTAATACATTATCATAAATCTACCAGTGGTATTTTCTTATCAAAATCGAATAAAATAAGAAATTTGGTTATTTAAGTAACTGTTAGAATATAATATGATGTAGTAAACCTATCTGAAATAAAATATTTGGTTATTCAAGTAACTGTCAGAATATAATATGATGTAGTAAACCTATCTGAAATAAAATATTTGGTTATTTAAGTAACTGTCAGAATATAATATGATGTAGTAAACCTATCTGAAATAGAATATTTGGTTATTCAAGTAACTGTCAGGATATGATATGATTTAATAAGCCTATCTGAAATAAAATATTTGGTTATTTAAGTAACTGTCAGAATATAATATGATGTAGTAAACCTATATGCCAGCCATGCTTTGACTTGTCACGTGCAGTTTGTTATATTTTCATTTTTAGAAGTGTATATTAGTGTTTGATGCAGTTACGAAAAATCAGATTTTAAAATATGCGTTCAACTTTTAGAAGTTTTCAACGCTCTTGTTAACCACGAATATTGTGAAACTTTTCGTATTTATTTATGAAAATAAGTTTGTTTTTGCAAAATGCAAAACGTATATATATATTTTCCATGGTTTCTTATCTTGGTTTTAAACATTAAATGCGCTTATATATATATGGATTATATTCCGTAGATCCTTAGGACCGCCCCCCAGTGGCACAGCGGTATGTCTGCGGACTTACAACGCTAGAATCCGGGTTTCGATACCCGTGGTGGGCAGAGCACAGATAGCCCTTGTGTGGCTTTGTGCATAATTAAAAACAAACAAACAATCCTTAGGACCCAACTCAATACATGTTAAGTAATTAAAGCCCATTGTTTTAACCCTTTTTTACCAAAACAGTTCCAGTACTGAAATTTCAATATCTGTTTCACAGAGATCACTTTTTATGAACGTTTATTATACATAAAAAAGTTATTATAATTCCAAAAAAAATTAATGAATAATTTATCTGTTTCGTTTGGCAACCCTGTATGTATAATTCGTTTATTTATTGTAAGAGCAAGAAAACAAGTTATCGAACAAAGAACTCTGAACTCTCCACCCACGTCTAACAAAAGTGGGTGAAACTATTAATAATTATTATTATTATTTAATTAAAAATACACTAAATACTTACAGCCGCTTTTGTTAGCTTGATTCGTCAGGTATTTTTTCTGCCTAGCTCTTGAATTTTGAAACCACACCTGAGTGACCCTTTTACTGAGACCCGTTATTTGAGCAATGCGTTCAAGATCTTGCCCATCAGGGTTTGAATCTAAGTTGAAGTTGGCTTGTAAAACTTGGAGCTGCTCTTCTGTGAAGGTTGTTCTAACTCTTTTCGTCTTTGTCCTGTAATGTCCCTCCTTGTCTCCGCTCTCTAGAAGGAATTTTTTAATTAGCTCATGCATTTAGTTTCACAACTTGATAAAACAAGTGCCCCTAAAATGTCCATTGAACATTTGTGCTATTAATTATTTTTTTCAATAATCACAAATGTGCAGATTAAAGCACAGTTGAAGATAGTTTTGAATATATTGTTTCACCCTGTGATCGTGTCAATTTATTAATTACTGTTAGGTGCTTTAATACAAATTGAATTCATCTGATATTAAAACATTTCAAAGTCATATACAAAATGCACTTCTCAAAACAGCAAAAAATATATTCAGGACTTGTAATGTTACAGCCTCGACAACGATAAACCAATGCTATCAAGTAATGTCAATTGCTCTCAGCTGATTCTTACCTAAATCTGACATCTGATGACCAGTTATGTGGTTTAAAGAGCAAATGACGAGTCAGTCAACTTATGCTATTATATACAATAGTTTTATAGTACCTTGCTTTAGTTGTCACAGAATTTCAAGTGTTTCTAGTTGTTCCAGAACCACGGCTAAACATCTAAGAATGCAGTTTGATGCTTAACTCGAGTAAAGACCAGTCAAGTGAATGGAAATCAAGTAATTAAAACACGCTGCTGCGAATTGGATACAAATGTCTCAGAATGTGGAATTATTTCGAACCCACTAATGCAGCTTACTCAGATAAAGACAAGGCAGATCATCTTCTATAATACAGATAGGTGACTGCTGTCTGTCGATCCTGACTGACTGCAATTGTATGGTACTTGCTCAAAGATCTAGTCAAATACTGGCAGCCGCAACTGGAAGTCATGTAAGTGTACAAATGTCTAATGAGAAGCATTCAGCTCACAGCAAGATATATAACAGCTTACCGTAACATATCCAGTGGATCAACGACATGTGGAGATATATTCCTTTATTACGCTTCACCCTGCAGTCAGATTACAGACTTATAATAACTTTAAGAGAATATGGAACAAGTTTCAACACTGTCTTCGTAGAGGAACGTGATATATATGTCGGTGGTGGTATTATGACGTAAGCATTAATGGACATAACAACACCTACATCATGTGGAATTACACATATCATCAACGCTAAATATTATGAGAAATACGTTCTAACAATCATTTGTACAACCCCGCATGATGCTGCAATTTACCCTGTACGTATCTCAACGAACGATAACGTTATTCTCCCACCAGATTAAAATGGTTGACACATTCTGACGAAGAGGGGATTGACAGAATGGAGTGGCTCCAAGCTCATCGGATTTACACCACATCGATCATGTATGGTATACCCTTTGACGACCTATTTAGTGAATTGACTTCAAATACCCAAGTTTATCTAGAAGAAACTGTTTCAAAGGAGTGATCAATAGTATTTTAGGATCTTATCAACACGTTGATTTACATCGACCCCAGGTTGGCATGGCAGCTCGTGATGAAGACACTACACATTTAAAGTAAATTACAAGCAATCTGATTATACAGCATCATCTCTTGAACAACCAACCATTTTCTTGTTATTTTAGTCAGTACTGCTTTGTGATTAGAAGAAAGAAACGAACTGAGAAAGGTAAGCGGTTTTAACTTCTCATAGTTAAATATTTTATATTCAAATTATCCTTTCAACTGTTTTGTGCAACATAGTATTGCCAAAACTTACAAAGCAGGACTTTCTTTCACCCTTAAAACTGACAGTCTGATGATGTCACTTGACCTATACACTACCCGTCAGGCAACGTGTAGTAAACATCATGATTTTGAAATGTCATCCTGCTTCAGATGTTAGGAGCAGACAATGCAATGTTTAAACAAAAACTGGCTTTTACATGTCATATTCATTTCTGCTCAATCAAAAGTGATCAGATATTTATACATTTCCAAGAAATTTTACCTCTAATCCAAAATTAATATGCAATCTCACAACTTAATTACACTCGTAAATTTCAAGATATCTAGTTGATATAATAATGCGACATCTTAATTGCGTTACGTTTTAGTATAATGTTACAATGATCTTTTATTTTCTGAGTTGATTGCAACGCGATCTTTACATCAAACTAGACACATTGTTTACAGCTTAGAGTAACTTACAAAACTTAAATGATGAAAATGATGCATTATTTGGAATATATATAGGAAAAGTTAAGTATCCATGTTATAACTCAGTGTTTTTTCTCTAGATTTTGAAACGACTTAATAATTTAGTAATATAAAAAAGATGAAATCCATGCTCGTGTTTGTCATTGTGATATAAAGTTCAATATTACAGCGTTTCTCCATAATTTACACTAAATTGTGCTATAGGTATAGCATTTTTCTTGTTCAGCTTCATTAATGACGATCCCCGGTAAATCGGCGGTAAGTTTGAAAGCTTATAACAGTGGTTACCAAACTCTTTTAGTCTGATGCTCCCTTGATGTGAATAAAAAAGTTTGAGATCCTCCCAACCTATAACTTTAGGATGGTGATTGAAAAACAGTGCCGTAGTAAAAACAATAACATTTCCGTTCGACATACTGTATCATTTAATTAATTCCACATAATTTTCATCGCCTTATTGAATATTTAGAATTGAAACTGATTCAGCATCTTTGTTTTCGGCCCATTTTTGGCGGCCCTCCAGAAAAAGCTTTACGGCCCCCAGGGGGCCGTGTCTCCCAATTTGGGAAACACTGGCTTATAATACTAAAACTGTAGTTTCGATGCCTGTGGTGGGCAAAGCAAAGATAGCTCATTTTGTAAATTTATGCTTATAACAAACAAACAAACAATAATATTATTGTCTTCTAGCGAAGTGACTGTAGTACCATTGACATTTTAATTACAAATTTACATAAACTTATTATATTTTATAATAGTGTAAATCTGTGCTTCTGAGTAATCACAATAAAAAAATCGATCGAAAATGCCTCTTACATTATACTTATATTACTTTAAAATAGGAGCTTTCTATGTGAGTGGTAAATAAATGTTCCGAAAAAGAGCGAAAATTCAAGTTAATTTTATAATCAAATTGCATAAACAGCGAACTTGTAAGATATCAGGAAATATGCAACAAACTTCTTGATTTTGGCTTTGGACATTGTTCCCGAGTATTCATAAATGCATGAACCGTCTTGTCCCAATTTGGCAGCCCTCATAATAATTTTGACATTCGGAGAACTCTCTCAACTAAGTGACACGTGATTTAAATTTTTTGGTTTGTAATGGCGACGGTTTTTTTAGTCGTTTCTTGTCTATTTGTTTTTTAATGAATATATAAGAGTCTATACATACATATTAACGGAAAATGATATAACGAAGAGAAGTAAACAACTAATATTAATATTACCAATCAACACATCAGCCACAGAAGATGGAACAATTTAGAAAATAGTCATGAGAGGTATGTTATTATAAGTAAGAATAACACAAATATCACAACTTCCTCGATAGTATATACCACTGTAATAATATGTAAACCATGTGGAGATCCAACATAATGTTAGGGTACACAATCTATAAACTATGTGGGAATGTCACAACCCAATAACATGAAAAATATATGAAGATGTAGCAAAACCCGAAACGTGAATAATCTGTAAACAATGTAAAGATGTAATAATACACTAACACTAAAAATCTGTAAACAATATGGAGATGTAACAATACACTAACAAGAATAATGTATAAAAAATGTGGGGATGTAATGATACACTAACAAAGAATAATATATAAACAATGTGGAGATGTAATAATACATTTAACAAGAATAATCTATAAACAATGTGGGGATGTTAGAATACACTAACAAGAATAATCTATAAAAAATGTGGGGATGTAATAATACACTAACAAGAATAATCTGTAAATAATGTGGGGATGTAATAATACATTTAACAAGAATAATCTGTAAACAATGTTGGAATGTAATAATACATTTAATAAGAATAATCTATAAACAATGTGGGGATGTAAGAATACACTAACAAGAATAATCTATAAAAAATGTGGGGATGTAATAATACATTTAACAAGAATAATCTATAAACAATATGGGGATGTTAGAATACACTAACAAGAATAATCTATAAAAAATGTGGGGATGTAATGATACACTAACAAAGAATAATATATAAACAATGTGGGGATGTAAGAATACACTAACAAGAATATTTTATGATTAATGTGGGAATGTAACAATGCATTAACATGATTAGTGTATAAATATTTAGAGATGTAGCAATACAATATCCCAACAATGTCTGAAAACGTCTCTCCTTGCTTTCTGTTTGAATTCTAATAATTTCACTGTAATTCCTAATCTCACGAACTTCAGAAGTAAGACCCACCTATATATATATGTAGAATTAGAAATATAAAGTAGACAGTAAGAAATATTACACTAAGAAAGACAGAGGTAAATGATTTTTCTGCTCATTATAGAATATTGTTTCATAGTTGAGTTACAAGCTTTGCTCCAACTCATAATATGCGGAAGTTCAACATAAAGTCATTGATATTGCCCTGACTACGTGTCTTGCCATTTGTACCATTGCACTGACGTTCATTTCACAGTTCATTGGGATTTTTTCCCCATGTTTGCACTATTAGAGTAACTATATATAGCTGGAGACTGGGAGCAGATTTAAGAAGCAGCTTTGGAATTGGTTTCCAGCCTATTTTATCAAAGAATAATAAAACCACTAAATATTGATGGTGTTACTTAAAAAAAAATCAGTTACACTGTTTTTCTCATATTGTTTTCAATACTCTTTAAATATGAAATCATGTCATATAAAGTAAGTAGATCGCTTTAGATCATACTACTCTTAGATCATTATTAATATCATGTATTAAAGCTAACATGTTTGTTAATTTTAGAACCGAATTTTAGTTACTAGGAAAATCATAACCAGAAGGGGCTTTTAGATAAAATTTACCCGTTTCTTTCCTCCCACCCTTCCCATCTTCTGGATGACAAATAAAGAAGAAAGAAGAAGACAGACTTCCTTGGTAGAACA